CTCTTTTAATTTTCAAAATCATTTGAATATCTGAAAGCATTTAAATATCTGAAATCATTTGAATATCTAAAAGTATTTGAATATTTAAAATCATTTTGATATTTAAAATTATTTGAATATCTAAAATTATTTAAATGTCTAAAATTATTTGAATATTTAAAATTATTCAAATATTTGAAGTCATTTAAATATCTAAAATCATTTGAATATTTAAAATTATTTAAATATTTGAAATCATTTGAATATCTAAAAGTATTTGAATGTCTAAAAGTATTTCAATATTTAAAAGTATCTGAATATTTAAAAGTATTTGAATATCTGAAATTGTTTAAATATTCGAAATTACTTAAATATTTAAAACTATTTGAACATTCGAATATTTAAAATCATTTTAATACTTCAAATTTTAAAATCATTTAAATAACTAATATCATTAAAATTATTAAATCATTTAAATTCATCAAAATTCAATTATTAACTCAAATTATATAGTTATGAATAATGTCTTAAAATTTGAATATTATCTATCTGAGTGTATTATTTATATAGCTCACCGATTCAGTATAATTTCATTGATTCAAATGTCTTTATTCATTTTACATCGTCTTACTTATACTCAAAAATCGGTAAAGAATACTTTCAAGGTTCTGAACAACCCAAAAATTATTGAAGGGATCTGAAAATAGCGGGGACCAAGACAACAAACTAAATCATAAGGAATCCATTCCATCCCTCCTATTTTTTTATTGACTTCAAGAATCTGAAACAGGGTTGCTTTTTTATTACCCTTTCTGAGCCTTTCTTCATATCTTCACCACTTCACCACTTCATATTCTGAGAGGAGAAGATTCATCCACCATTCTTTTCTTCTTTGACTTCTTCTTCTTATCCTCTCTTCAATACTTGGGTACCATCACTGGTATCTTATATTTTTGACTGATTGTTTATTTCTGAATCAAAATAAAGAATTCTGAGTTGAACTACATTCACTCTTTTACTTAGGTTGCCAAGGAGAGGGCCGATTCGATCTATCTGACCGTCCGTTCCTGAAGCCCACGGATTGACACCGCCATACGAGAATATACCTCTAAATCTTGGACACAACCAACATTCCTCTTTAGATCTATTTCTCATTCATCAAGTATTGATCAAATCTCAAAGGTTTTGTCAGTATTAATATTACACTTACCATTTGTATAATCTCGATCACTTTATAAAGGGTTCTTGATTATTTTCCACAACCATGGCATACTCTGGAAACGGAGGCTATGATGAGCATAAGCTCCAAGACCTTCCACCTGGAGGGGGTAACGTAAGTTTTGAGACTTCTTTCATCTCTCAGATTGTGAGAAAGCTTTCTCTAACCATAGTTCTTGCAGTACCATCATCCTCAAGATGAAGAGGAAGGTGCTTTACCTTTACTCGATTCTGGAGGACATGGCGGCCCATTCAACAGCCCTTACGACTCTCACTCTCAAGGAGGTCTTCGAGCGAATACCCCTCCCGTCAGACCTGTTTCTGCCTACAGTCTTACAGAAACGTATGCGAACGATCCACAACCATACAGCAGCGATTACAATTCATCCCACACATACAATGAGCAGTTGGAAGATAACCCATACCCACGAACCGAAACTCCTTTGTCACGAGCTGAAACTACCTCCACAGAGGCATGGAGGCAACGACAAGCCCCTCAAGCTGGAGGTCTCAAACGTTATGCTACCAGAAAGGTGAAGCTTGTACAGGGAAGCGTATTGAGTGTTGATCATCCAGTACCCAGTGCTATCAAAAACGCTATTCAACAAAAATACAGGAATGATTTGGAAGGTGGCAGCGAGGAATTCACACATATGCGTTACACCGCTGCAACTTGCGATCCCGATGAGTTTACGTTGAAAAATGGTTACAATCTACGACCTGCCATGTACAATCGTCATACTGAGTTGCTCATCGCTGTTACCTATTACAACGAAGACAAGCAGTTGACTGCACGTACTCTTCACGGTGTCATGCAGAATATCCGCGATATTGTCAACCTCAAAAAATCTGATTTCTGGAATGTTGGTGGACCAGCATGGCAAAAAATTGTTGTCTGCCTTGTTTTCGATGGTATCGACCCTTGCGACAAAGATACACTTGACGTTCTTGCTACTATTGGTATCTATCAAGATGGTGTCATGAAGAAAGATGTCGATGGAAAGGAGACCGTTGCCCATGTTTTCGAATATACAACACAACTTTCGGTCACTGCCAGTCAACAACTTATCCGCCCAACTGAGGGCGACGCCAACTGCCTTCCTCCGGTGCAAATGATGTTTTGCTTGAAAGCAAAGAACACAAAGAAGATTAACTCCCATAGATGGCTGTTTAATGCGTTTGGTCGTCTCCTCAACCCGGAAGTCTGCATCCTTTTGGATGCCGGTACCAAGCCCGGTCCTAAATCACTTTTGTCTTTATGGGAGGGCTTCTACAACGACAAGGATCTTGGAGGTGCTTGCGGAGAGATTCATGCTATGCTTGGGAAGGTTAAAATGTCTAATTGAAATTTGATGCTGTCAGATGTGCTAACGCAAATACAGGGTGGCAAAAAACTTCTCAACCCGCTTGTTGCAGGTCAAAACTTCGAGTATAAGATCAGTAATATTCTCGACAAGCCTCTAGAGAGTTCTTTCGGATACGTCAGTGTGTTGCCGGGAGCTTTCTCTGCATATCGATTCCGAGCTATCATGGGACGACCTCTTGAACAATACTTCCACGGAGATCACACTTTGTCCAAGATTCTTGGAAAGAAGGGTATTGAGGGAATGAACATTTTCAAGAAGAACATGTTCTTGGCCGAGGACAGAATTCTCTGTTTCGAGCTTGTAGCCAAGGCTGGTAGCAAGTGGCATTTGACTTATATCAAGGCAGCTAAAGGAGAAACTGATGTACCTGAAGGAGCTGCTGAATTCATTGGTCAACGTAGAAGATGGCTTAACGGTTCCTTTGCAGCAGGAATGTATTCCATCATGCATTTCGGCAGAATGTAAGTTTATACGTGACGGCGTACTCTGAGCGTCAAAAACTAACGTCTTCCATAGGTACAAGAGTGGTCATAATCTTGTCCGCATGTTCTTCTTGCATATCCAATTCTTATACAACGTCTTCTCCAACGTTCTCAGTTGGTTCATGTTATCTTCTTTCTGGCTCACAACTACTGTTATTATGGATCTTGTCGGTACCCCTACCGCCGCTTCGGACACTACTGCCCTTCACCATGGCTGGCCTTTCGGTGATACTGCTACCCCTATCATCAACACGATTCTGAAATATCTCTACCTGGGATTCCTACTCGTTCAATTCATTCTGGCTCTTGGTAATCGACCTAAAGGATCTAAGGTTACTTATATCGTATCCTTTATCGTCTTTGGTGTTATCAATCTCTATGTTCTTGTCCTATCCATGTATCTAGTCGTTCGTGCTTTCTCATCAGGAGATAGTCTCGACACTAGTAACGCGAAAGATTTCTTTGAGAGTTTTTTCGGAAGTAGCTCGAGTTCAGGAGCTGGTATCATTATTCTCGCTTTAGCTGCTACATTCGGATTGTACTTTGTTGCATCCTTCATGTACATGGATCCTTGGCACATGTTCCATTCCTTTGGGCCATACTTGTTGCTCATGTCATCTTACATCAACATTCTCATGGTCTACGCTTTCAGTAATTGGCATGATGTTTCTTGGGGTACCAAGGGATCTGATAAGGCAGAAGCTCTTCCATCAGCTAAAACTACGAAGGTTGATGGTAAAGCAGCAGTTATTGAAGAAATTGACAGACCGCAAGAGGATATTGACAGTCAGTTTGAGGCAACTGTTAAGCGTGCTCTTAAGCCATTCGTTCCTGAAGTTGAAGATGAAAGCAAGACCTTGGAGGATTCTTACAAATCTTTCAGAACCAAGCTTTTGATCTCTTGGGTATTCTCGAACGCTTTGTTGGCTGTTGCTATCACGAGTGACAGTGTTGATGGATTTGGTTTCGGAGTGAGTTATTCTATGCCGACAACAGTTTGAATTTCCCAGCTAACATTATGTTCAGAATACTGCATCAATTAGAACTGCCAAGTTCTTCGAAGTTCTGCTTTACTCAACGGCTTTCTTGGCGCTTGTCCGTTTCCTCGGATGTTCTTACTTCTTGTTCAAGTCTGGTATCATGTGCTGCTTCATGAGACGTTAGACAAGACTTACACCATACATACTCTAGAAACAAATATCGGTACTCGCACCACTAAAAGGTCACGAGTAATAAATGTTTCTTTTTCAAAAAATTGGAGGGCGGAGAGGAGGATGGACCCTTTATACGGAGCGTGAGCACCTATCATTGGAAAGGAATCAGCGCGTGAATCTACAGCAAGCAACCATTTTTTGCATTTTTGCTTGCACATATGGAGCTTTGAGATTTTTTTCTTCTTCCTAGGCGGTCTCTCTATATTGCATGTTTGAGTAGGCGTTTCCGTTTAATACTATTGAATACCCTTATGAATGAATAACCATTCGTATCTATTGAGTTAGATGTTATCTCGTCAAAAATCCAACGTGCACCGTAGCAAACTATATGAGAAATTTGATTGAGAACTTACGTGTGGCACAAAACGGGTTGGCCACTCGCGTGACACTTTTGATAAGAAATCGAACCCCGCCAGCCCGCCAGTCCGCCAGCCCGCCTCATAACTTTCGGCAAGGCGTCAGCAACCAAAAATCCCTACTGTAGCAGCCGTATTATTGTATATTTGACAAGGCACAATATTATAACATCATTTTGATACAACAGACTGGAGCTATTCACTTATTATTCCGAGTTCCTATACTTTTATAACTGGGTACAAATCGACTCTCTCGCTTACTCTTCTCTCATTGTTAAAGGTCATTTCTCGAACATTATTTCACTACCTACAATATAATTCTCAACTTCCGAACTCCAGAATTGCACTCTCAATACTCCAGTTGAAGAGTCATCAATAGTCAAGATGTTGAAGATATGGTCTATGGTATGTGCGCATCAGAACTGGGATTCCAGCAACGATGTGTAACGCGTTCGGAATACTGACATTGTACGCAGAAACAAAAACAGCAGCAAGAGGCAAATGCCGATGCTGCTGCAGGCATCAAGAAGAAGAAGGTTACGGCCGCACAACTTAGATTGCAGAAAGGTAAGAGGAACAGATTCCAGGCTTTTGAGCGTATACGGAAGGGCACAGAATGAGATTGTACTGGGCATGCATGTATGAGGACTAACATCGTGCGCTGTCAGACATTGCTGAAATGTCGCTGCCCTCTACTATGCGCACCGATTTTCCCGACGAAGACGACATTCTCAACTTCTTTCTCTATATCGAACCAGACGAAGGCATGTACAAGGGTGGAATTTTCAAATTCAAATTCGCTGTTCCGGAAACGTTCCCACACGAACCGCCCAAGGTCAACTGTGAACAGAAGATCTATCACCCAAATATCGATGTTGAGGGAAAGATTTGTTTGAATATTCTGAGGGAGGACTGGAAACCAGTGTTGAACTTACAAGCGATTGTTATAGGATTGCAGGTATGATTTGGCAAGCGGTTTTCATGGATATATATGATGTCTCTGGTCTGCAAAATTACTTAATACTGACGACTGGATGAACAGTTCCTTTTCCTCGAACCAAACGCCTCGGATCCACTTAATAAGGAAGCTGCAGAGGATTTGAGATCAAACCGAGAGGGATTCAAGCGGAACGTGAGATCTGCTATGGGAGGTGGATCTGTAAAGAATGATTCATTCGATAGGGTACTGAAGGTTTGAAGGGAGAAGGCATATGGATTAAACATTTACTATGCTTTCAATATGCATTATGCATCAATACAAACGATGTCAAGATAGGGTTATACGATCCGGACCAGTACTACAATTCCAGCACCACGCACCAATGTGTGAGGTCACAACATGAGGACGGGGGCATGATGGGCGTTTTTTTCTTTCTATTTGGAGATCGAGGATCTTTCATGTAGCCCTTTTGGCTGCTGATCTTATATCAGGCTTTGTGTTGTGGCTGTAGATAGAATACATTGTGTTTGAGCCAGAGAGGAAGGGGAAAGTAGTCAATAGGGTTAATACAATGAGTGAATACATACAAACAGATATCTTTCTGAATTCAAGTAAAGGGGAGTGAAACCGCCAAAGCAATGACTACCGGAGGACTACCGGAGCGTCATTTCATGAGTAGATCTGATTCTGATGTCAACCCCTAGAGTATAGGAGTGAGTATTACGATTTCTCCGATATATGGAGGCATAGCGAAGGAGTCATATTTGTAAATGGAAACATTCTACTTGGTAACTTCATCTATCTAGGTATCTCCACTACTGTTGTCAATTCATATATCGGGGTATACTAGGCAAGTCGGAGCGCGCGAGGCCAGTTTCTCGTAGTCAATCAATTGTAAACTAACACAAGCTATTTCACGGCTTGGACCGTGGCCGGAACAATACCGGAGGGGTGGGTGAGGCTGTGATGTGGCCGAATTTCCACTATGGATAGCCTTCCTTTCCTTTCGGATAGATAGATGAGCTAGATTGTCGGATTTTGTATATATAATTGCGAAACGTAACTACATATCTAGGTACGATTGATGAGGATGAGAATGGCTACATATATATATAGGCATAGGTAGCTATGTATTGGGGTAAAAAGAAATATAACAATATAATCAGATTTACGACACATTTACACTTATTTAAAGTTTTGGTAAAGTTTCATAATTTGCCAAATTGAGTTCAGTTTTACAACGCTTGTACACATAGATTATTTTCACTTTCTGCAAGCCAAAATCCACCATTTTATTGGATGATATTCACATTGAAATACAACCCGCACTGTTGGCTTGCCAAGACTTTCCCACCCACAGAAAGTGCGATACTGGAGAATACCCCTGTCAAAGGTACCTCCGGAACCGGGCAGGAAAATTTCCTAGCTACTGTTGCCCACAACAAAAAGACGAAGAGTCACATCTACAACTTTTTGATTTAAACCTCAAAATACCCTTTTGCTACTCTTCCTTTTTTCGAACTCCACTCACTTCTTCCTTCAAAATGGCTGCCCGTACATTTTCCAGAGTCGCTAGACCAGTTGCACGTCAATTGACTGCACCAGCACGCAGAACTTTTGTCTCTGCTATCAATGCCTCAGCCAGACCTTCTGCTGCCCGTGCTGTTGTTGGAGCTTCCCAACAAGTCAGAGGTGTAAAGACCATCGACTTTGCTGGCACAAAGGAGAAGGTTTACGGTATGAATTCAGATCTCAATTTGCATATTAATGGAAACTGACAACTTTAACAGAGAGAGCCGACTGGCCAGTTGAGAGACTCCAGGTATGATTTACAACTCACAACCTTTGACATTGACTTTTGCTAACATCTATCTTCCAGGAATACTTCAAGAATGACACAATGGCCATTATTGGTTACGGTTCCCAAGGACATGCTCAATCTTTGAACATGCGTGATAACGGTCTTAACGTCGTAGTCGGTGTACGAAAGAACGGTCAATCATGGAAGGATGCTCAACAAGATGGTTGGGTTCCAGGAAAGAACCTCTTCGAGGTTGATGAGGCTATCTCCAAGGGTACCATCATTATGAACTTGCTTTCCGATGCTGCTCAAAGTGAAACTTGGCCAGCACTTAAGCCCCAGATTACCAAGGGAAAGGTATGGACATATATTCAAGTTCCAATGATCAAAACTGACTTCTGCAGACTCTCTACTTCTCCCACGGTTTCTCCCCAGTCTTCAAGGACCAAACCAAGGTCGATGTCCCAACTGACGTTGACGTCATCCTCGTTGCACCAAAGGGATCTGGACGTACCGTCCGAACTCTCTTCCGTGAGGGTCGTGGTATCAACTCTTCCATCGCCGTTTTCCAAGATGTTACCGGAAAGGCACAAGAGAAGGCTATCGCTCTCGGTGTCGGTGTTGGATCTGGATACCTTTACGAGACCACCTTCGAGAAGGAGGTTTACTCCGACTTGTACGGTGAGCGTGGTTGCTTGATGGGTGGTATCCACGGTATGTTCCTCGCACAATACGAGGTTCTCCGTGAGCAAGGCCACAGCCCAAGTGAAGCTTTCAACGAGACTGTTGAGGAGGCTACTCAATCTTTGTACCCATTGATTGGTGCCAACGGTATGGACTGGATGTACGAGGCTTGCTCTACCACCGCTCGTCGTGGTGCTATCGATTGGTCCGGAAAGTTCAAGGATGCTTTGAAGCCAGTCTTCAACGACTTGTATGACTCCGTCAAGACCGGAAAGGAGACTCAAAGATCCCTCGAGTTCAACTCCCAAAAGGATTACCGTGAGAAGTATGAGGCTGAGATGAAGGAGATCCGTGATTTGGAGATCTGGAGAGCAGGAAAGGCTGTTCGGTAAGTCACAATCATTAATCACTACGTGTTGTATAATCACTAACATTTTTATTAGTTCCCTCCGTCCTGAAAACAACTAAATGGATAGTTAATGGGGCCGTGGGGCTGGAGTTGCATATTTGAAATTGGGCCAATTGTATCATACTCTCATGACTTTCCGTTTTTTTATCAACGGTATCTGGAATTAAAAGTTTAAGCCATTGAATTCAAAAAATTATATTTCCAATTGTTCTTATGATTGACTATGCTTGTGCACTTGTTCATACTTCCCTGTTCGGCCGAGATCGGCATGATTTTCACCAAACCAGGGTCTCAATTTATATGAATCATCCGGGCAATGCCCCGCCCCCACCATATCAATTATGCTATATGGTTAGCAGCTGCACCCTTCCTTGACATTGCAATTTATTTCCAATTCATGTTAACACATTTACAAGTGTGTTCAATTTAGATCAGTACTCACAATGGCAGATCCCAATACTCGTCTCCCTCTTAATCGCCAATCGGTTCTGGATGCTCACGAACTGATTAAATCTCATATTCATCATACCCCAGTTCTGACAAATAGGACAATTGACGAAATAGCGAGTACACCACAGACTGCGGAGGCATTGAAAGGGACAGAATGGGAAGGAAAAGACCCTGCGAGACCGAAAATTAGACTATGGTTTAAATGTGAGAATCTACAGAGGGTGGGCGCATTCAAAGTTAGAGGGGCTTTTCATGCGCTGAAGAGGTTAGAGGAGGCAGAAGGAGGGATCGAAGCTGGACATGGAGAAGGAGGTTGGAGACAGATGGGTGTGGTAACACATAGTAGTGGTTTGTTCACTATTTTTTATACCTTTTCTTGGCTTGCGAATTGTTCTTTGGCATTATTATCATCTCCGGCTTTCTTCCAGTCTGCCAACGAATTCTGGAGGTAAGATACTAATATAACTCTGATAATAGGAAACCACGCACAAGCCCTCGCACTCGCAGCTCGTGAGCTCGGAATCCCAGCCCATATCGTCATGCCCACTATCTCGACACCATCGAAAATAGCAGCGACAAAAGGTTACGGCGCAAATGTTAGATTCAGCGGGTCAACATCAGTAGAGCGAGAAGCGATGGTTGAAGAAGTTATGAAGGAAACAGGCGCAAAACTTGTGCCGCCATACGATCATCCGGATATTATTGCTGGGCAAGGAACCATGGGTTTGGAATTGGCAGAACAGGTCAAACAATTACAAAGTGAGAGAGGCATAGGCAATCAAGATGGCCAGGAGGTAAAAGGATTAGATGCGATTATTACTCCTTGTGGAGGCGGGGGTATGTTATCGGGTGTTGCGCTTTCGTGCGAAGGAAGAGGAATCCGAGTTTTTGGCGCAGAACCCGAGTTTCAGGGGGCGGATGATGGACGGCGCGGATTCGAACAGGGGAAGAGAATTGAGAGTGTCAAGAGTCTCACGATTGCGGATGGATTGCGCACGCCGGTGGGAAAGATTCCGTGGAGTGTTATTTTTGAGAGGCGGTTGGTGGAGAGTATGTACAGTGTGACGGAGGAGCAGATTAAGAAGGCGATGCGGTTGGTGGTTGAGAGGATGAAGGTTGTCGTGGAACCGAGTGCGTGTGTGGGGCTTGCGACGGTGTTGTTTCATGAGGGGTTTAGGGGGATGGTGGAGAGGGAGGCGGGGGAGAGGGGGTGGGATGTTGGTGTGGTTTTTAGTGGGGGGAATGTGGGGGTTGAGGCGTTGGGAGTGTTGTTTGGGGAGGGGGGTAGTGGGAAGGAAGGGGAGAGGGCGCAGGGGAAGGTGGGGAGCGATGGGGTGAGGGTTGCGGAGAATGTGGCGGGTTAGATGGGAGTGGGGAGTGGTATGATGTGAGATGGATGTAAATCAACATAATGAGGTTATGAAATATACGCGACGAAGAAATTTCCTGGAACTGAAACCTATCCTTTTGCAACTCCCATACTAGTATAATCTCTTGTATATATAGCGTGATGTCCAGTTGGGACTTGAGGAGATAGTGTAGATAGTATGGATAGTCAATATGGATAGCCAATATGAATTAAAGATAATCAATAAGAACAGAAGATACTTGAAAAGAATACATGGAAGAATAGAAGTAAAGAACGATATTAAAGATAATCCCCCTCCCCTTTCTTCTCGTTAAGCGTTATGCTTTTGACAACTCTGGAATGCTGGAGTTAGGAGTTAGGAGTTGGGAGTTGGAAGTTTATTGTTGGGTTTCTGATTCGCTTGTTTTTTTATTTTATGTTTTTATGGTGGAGAGTGGAGAGGGATATGGAGGGTTAAATAGAGTATAGAGTATAGAGTATGGAGGATGATATAGAGAGAGAGAGATATGAGAGAGAGATATGAGAGAGAGATATGAGAGAGAGATATGAGAGAGAGATATGAGAGAGAGATATGAGAGAGAGATATGAGAGAGAGATATGAGAGAGAGATATGAGAGAGAGATATGAGAGAGAGATATGAGAGAGAGAGATGAGAGAGAGAGATGAGAGAGAGAGATGAGAGAGAGAGATGAGAGAGAGAGATGAGAGAGAGAGATGAGAGAGAGAGATGAGAGAGAGAGATGTGAGAGAGAGATGAGAGAGAGAGATGAGAGAGAGAGATGAGAGAGAGAGATGAGAGAGAGATATGAGAGAGAGATATGAGAGAGAGATATGAGAGATAGGGTGTGGAAATTGATGGATGGATGGATATCTATATAGATGGTTATATGTAAATGATTATATGACAAGTAAATAGCTATATCTAGTCTACTTAAGTATCCAGTAAGTATCTCATGCTTTACTTGAACATTGGTGAAGATTTAGTTAGTAGTGAGTGTGTGATAAGCATCGAGGGATTTCCGCTTAATATTTAGGAGGGAGGGGGTCTTAGATTAGTATTGGTTACCTATATAGTAAATTTACCACTTTCACGCGTGTTAGATTCTAGACTGGCTACCTACCTATCTTCCTAGTAAAGTTTATTATTTAAGACTAGCGATTGTAAAGGAATCTCAAATCTTATACTGGAGGGGGGAGATAGGGGCAGGAAATGACAATTGGAAGCTAGAAAGTATCTCGAAAGAGTAGAATCGATGAATGACTTTAAGATAAATTGTATATCTAAATATCTAGGTAGATATAAGTCACTGCAAGAGGAAAAAGTTGAATATTTCAACAGTATAAGAGTGATACTCTGGACTTTTATTGGTATGGAAGCAATTTGTCATTTGTTGTACGACGATTAAGTGTAGTACAGATTTGAGAGATCAAGATCAAAGAATCAGATTAGCCACTGCATATTATAAATCCCGATAAACTCAATACTAAAGCGATTATCTAGGAACATGGAAGTATATATCAAGCGGCTATATATCCAGATCACAATTCCTATCACAACTCCAAGCCCAATATTAAGGTTGATAGATGAATCCCTCTTTTCAAGTGTCCCAAACACCAACAAACCAACAATACACCCCGATAGAAATCTACAACAACATTAACCCTTCTAGAAAATTCAACCTCCCATACTGCAATCAGGAGCCATCATGAAAAGTTTATCGTGCCGTCATCGCGATATGCCCGCAGCTTTCTTATTCGTGTCAGTCGTCTTCTGTTACCGCGATAGCTATCACGATAGAGAGGGGACCTGGGAGTTATTTTTGTAGATGGTAATGGTTTATCGGGTTGTGGTTCTGGTTCTGGCTCTGGTTCTGGCTCAGGCTCAGGCTCGTCTTCTTTCCCCTCATATTCCCACTCAGATCCACTAGGTAATTCTTCTAATGGGTTTTCCTTGCGACGCTTATTCTGCATTTCTACCCTCATCTCCACATACGCCATCCCTCCTCCCAGAGAATCGACTACACCATAGATTCCGGGCAAGAAACGCCACACTTCTTGATCTATCGGCTCGCCTATATCTCCTATTACACTCAAATCATCCGGCGTCCAATACATCTCGACGTCTTGGAGACAGCTATGCATCAGTCTATCTATACTCAAATCCTCGAGGTCTGCGTCGCGAGTGCGTTCAAAGAGTGGACCTTGCTTCTGGCTAAGGTGTGTCCTGGCGTACCGACGGATAGTTCGCCTCATTCTATATTGTTCAATTAACCCCGATCACATGCATGATTCATGGAAACACTAACCTGTTAAAATATGGTCCTCCGGCCAGGGAGGATGTTACCCAGCCTACGAATCGTCAATTAGTTTATGGAGTTTCTCAAACGATGGTGATGATGAGTGAAAATTTGATCCCTTCGAACTATAATGCTGCGTAGAGGACTCAATCACTACGGAATACATTTCGGGGTTGAAAGCTTCCAGTGTTGTGTTATACTTTGGGTCATTGATGATAAACTCAACCCCCCCAATAAATTTATTGTTCTAAGCATGTTCAATGTGAAGGGTTCAGAAATGAAAATCCAGCCTTGCGGGACTGCATCATCAACAATCCACTACGCGGTTTCGAGTGTAGAATAATGTAAAGGCTCTTGACTTACTATCCATCCAAAGTGGTGACATAACAGCCAAGTCCGGCATGGCAGCGGCAAAGCAAGCTGCCACAACATCTTTATATAAGCGACAAGAACAGAGAAATGTTCGCCGTGTGAGTATTTCGTATGCTTGGGGATGCTCTAATATTGTATGGCCAAGTGAAGTGATGAACGATTTTTCGAGATCGGTGAAACCCGGATCCTGAAAGTACACTTTACTTGGTGGAATATCAAATTTTTGCCCTGCAAGATGTTATTTATGTGTGTAAAGAGAGGGATTAAGAGGGTGGATAAATTGGAAATTCGAAAATATAAAACTTACTCAAAATATCAATCCAACATTCAAAGCCAACCACTTGGGAAAGATGATACAAACCTCCGCCGCGTTCCTCATTCTGCGAAACGTAACTTTCATCATACTTATAAGAACTATTTGTGCCACCCTGTATTGATCCAACACCCATGGATAACGCTGAATCCACTACTAGCTTCAAAGGAAATATCGTTTTTTCCACCCATTCTTTTTGAACGGCGTGAAATTTTGATGCTTTCCACCCGCGAGTCATTTCCGCATGTATGGCTAACATGCCTGCAAGCTTTTCAGCTTCAGTCTTTTCACTAGGATGGGACATCTCGGACACTAATTGGAAAGATTAAAAATTTGAATGGTTTTTTCAATGCCGAATTATGTTTTCTGTGTGGTCTGGAATATATGTAAGGAGATAGCACGAAAGGAAACGAGCATATACTAAATTCAAGGATCGGATAGAACAGCCAAGATACACATCAACAAAAGAAACACATGAAGTGGAAACATGAAAGGAGTTGACAACAAGTCCCAAATCCGGCTATTATTCATGACAAAGGCACTTTGACCTTTGCACTCCAGCATAGAACGTTTAGACAAAGTATAAGAATGAACAATGGAGCATCAGCCAATTGAATTCCATTATTTGTTAGGAAGAGAAGCAAGTCTCCAGTTCTCTCACCAGAAGGGTACGAGGGCGTGTCTTTGATAAATGCCGGGCTGAAATTTAAGCGAATTTCCTCATTAAAACTATGCTTTATTCTATATATTTATAAATAAATAATAATTCAAATATTTATTATAAAATTTTGAAATTTTAATTTTATAAAAAGTATTAATTAATAATTAATTTAATATTAAAATTATTATTTTTTGAATTAAATTAATAATAAAATTCTATATAGAAATTTGATTCTTAAAATAAACATTATTTCTCATAAAATTTTTAAATATAAAAATTTAATATAAATTTTGATTTAATTGAAAACTCTAATAAGAAAACTAAAATTATATTATGAAATTTTTAACAAAAATTATTACTTCTATAAAATTTCAAATATATAATAATATTAATTGATTTAATATTGAATTCTAAAATAGATGAATTTGAATGAATTTTAATATAAAAAAGTGCTTGCGCATGGACCCGGTATTTATCAAAGACACGCCCTCGTAATGCGTTTATCAAATTTCATACAAATATTCAAACCATTCACAGTTTTAAGGCCTTGTATCAATCAGATATAGAAGACAAGATGTCACAAGCAAAAAGTTTATTACCTGCAGTTTCAATTATAAGACCACGTCATTGATTCGAGAAACAATACACCTTGCTAGGATGGAAGCTATCGTTGCACACCAAGATACTTCCTGTGTATGTTAACTATGCACAAACAGATGTATTGTTTGTTTCCTGTACATAGCAATAACAATAAGGAAGAATGTAATCATGAGAAAGAAAATAGGAAATAGAGTAGTACGGAGACTTGCCATTTTGAAGATAGTGAGGAGATGATTGTTTGAGAGGGGAAACATCCACTAAGACGGGTTTTTATGATTCCTTGCAAAAGCCAAACTCCACAGCAAGTTTTATTTTGAAGTAGAAGTTGAATAGCAGCTCTTAAACTGCATCATGCTATCATGCCATTCAAGCTTGTTTGTACATCCTTCTCAAATCTGCAACCTATTTTGGCAGAATTCAAAAGTCCGTAACCCTACCATTATAACTCCAATCGCCCCTCTCACCTGAACTTCCCCACCTCAAAGGTTCATTCTTTGGACCACCGACCTCTCCAGTCTTCGGATTGATATCCCCTTCAAATTCTGGCCTCGCACCTCTGCGAATATCCGGGTGCAATTCCTCTCCTTTTCCTGTAGCAGATACCCTAGCGTTCACAGCAGCCAATTCTATATCCTCCTTCTCGGCAGCAGTGGTTGCAGGTGATTGATTTATTTGTGGTCTTGTTCGCGTCGATGACTTCAATGTATTGGTAACGACTTCAGTTTTCGGGGTACTAAATGCACCAGTAGAGGAGCGCTGCAGACGTTCAAATTCTTCTTGTTCCTTTGGTGGCAAGCGTGGCGGGGCTGGACCCGTTGCGAATGCTGTTCGAGAAGTAGTTTGTGAGAAGAAGCGACGGGAAGGAAGGAGAAATCTTGATGGTAAAAGTCGAGACATTTTCAATTGTTGTTCAATTAGGAAGTTCGAGAACTGAATGATAAGAGGAATTAGATTTCGATTCCAGTGTAACGTTTTTGAATCGGCTGTTCACGGACAATTGATTTATATCAGCCGGATTATGTTGTGGCAAGGAGAAGGAGATTAATATTGATTGATACCCGAGGAGGTCATGACGAAATTAATTGTTCAACTGGCAAGAGAATGCGAGATTTTGCCAAGGCGGTGACTTAATTGAGCGATAACTAGTGAGGGGCGACGGTTTTGACTCACTTTTTTGGGTGATCAATAAGAATTATATATACAAGAAAAGGAATCCTACTTGGAGACTATTTTAAAAAATTCATTCATATATCAATCATCATCTCCCCCTCCTGCTGTTATTCTCTCTTCTTCCCATAACACTTCTTTACAAAACTATAATTCAAAATGGACCATCTAAAGAGGACATTTGCACAATGCAAGAAAGAAGGAAGATCCGCACTGGTAACATACATCACTGCTGGCTTTCCTCAAGCACATGATACTGTTGATATCCTCTTGGGGATGGAGGCTGGTGGTGCCGGTAAGTGATACCTCACTTCCAATTGACTGTGTGGAAGTTGACAATTGTTCGCAGATGTTATCGAATTAGGTATCCCGTTCACAGATCCTACTGCGGATGGACCCACGATTCAAAGAGCAAATACTCAAGCTTTGAAGAACGGTATAACAGTTACTTCGGTCTTACAAATGGTACGGGATGCAAGAAAGAAGGGATTAAGAGCTCCGGTTCTGTTCATGGGTTATTACAACCCTTTTCTGAGTTACGGAGAGGAAAGATTATTACAGGACTGCCGAGAAGCTGGTGTCAATGGATTCATCGTTTGTGATCTTCCACCAGAAGAAGCTGTGAGCTTCAGAAAGTTTTGCACAAGCGGAGGGTGAGTTTTTGGGAGAGCATTCATACGTTGCATTTGAATATATGGCTTACAATTTTTGTTCAACAGATTATCCTACGTTCCTCTTATCGCTCCTTCGACGTCCGAATCCCGAATGAAGCTTCTTTGCAAGCTCGCAGACTCTTTCATATATGTTGTTTCAAGAATGGGTGTTACTGGAGCCACAGGAGGTTCAATGGATGCTGGTTTGGAAGGTTTATTAAAAAGAGTCAAGGAATACTCAGGAAACGTTCCAGCTGCTGTAGGATTCGGTGTCAGCACAAGAGAACATTTCTTACAGGTCGCCAAAATCGCCGATGGAGTCGTTATTGGAAGTCAAATTATCAACACCGTCAATCAAGCACCTGCCGGAAACATCGCAAAAAGTGTCGAAGAATACTGTGCGGAAGTTTGCGGGAGAAGGGGCACTCCAAGTGAGGGTGAGGGTCTGACTAGAGAGGTTGGAATGGCCGAGACAATGGGTGTTGCCCAAGAGCCTAGCGGAGAAAATGTTACTGTCGATGCCGTCGTTAGGGATGAGGACAGATCAGGACCCGGTTTAGCTGATCAGATCGAGGCCTTAAATACCAATGGCCCCATAGATCCAAAAATTGCATCTCAGAAGTTCGGAGAATTTGGTGGACAATACGTACCAGAGGCGCTCATGGATTGTTTATCAGAGCTTGAAGCAGGATTCAATGCAATCAAGGACGATCCAGCATTCTGGGAAGAATACCGAACATATTATCCATGGATGGGACGACCAGGTCAATTACATGAGGCCGAAAGACTTACTGAACACGCTGGTGGTGCAAGGATCTGGTTGAAGAGAGAAGATCTAAATCATACCGGAAGTCACAAGATCAACAATGCTTTGGGACAAATCCTTCTTGCTCGACGATTAGGAAAGACCGAGATTATTGCAGAGACTGGTGCAGGACAACACGGTGTGGCCACAGCGACTGTGTGCGCAAAGTTTGGTATGAAATGTACCATTTACATGGGAGCTGTAAGTTTGAACAGTCTTTTTTTCGCTTCTATTGGGTCTTCTCTTGGCTTCTTCGTTACGGCACTAATAAAATATACAGGAAGACGTAAGAAGACAAGCTCTCAATGTTTTCCGAATTAAGCTTCTTGGTGCATCTGTTGTCGCCGTCGAAGCTGGTTCGCGTACACTTCGAGATGCTGTCAATGAAGCTATGCGCTCTTGGGTCGTCAAGCTTGACACTACTCATTACATCATTGGCTCAGCAATTGGTCCTCACCCGTTCCCAACTATCGTCAGAACATTTCAATCCGTCATCGGCAACGAAACTCGAGCTCAAATGCTAGAGAAGTGCGGTAAACTCCCTGATGCTGTCGTTGCATGCGTTGGAGGTGGTAGTAACGCGGTTGGCATGTTCTACCCATTCTCAAAAGACCCAAGTGTTAAACTAGTTGGTGTTGAGGCCGGTGGTGATGGTTTAGATACAGATCGCCACTCCGCTACTCTGACTGGTGGTACAAAGGGTGTTCTACATGGTGTCCGTACATATGTCCTCCAGGACAAACATGGACAAATTTCAGAGACTCATTCCGTATCTGCTGGTTTAGATTATCCTGGTGTTGGACCAGAATTAAGTAATTGGAAAGATACTGAGCGTGCGAGGTTTATCGCGGCCACTGATGCCGAGGCATTCAAAGGATTCAGACTGATCAGTGAGAAAGAGGGTATCATCCCTGCTTTGGAAACTGCGCATGCAGTATGGGGAGGAGTAGAATTGGCAAAAACCATGAGCAAAGATCAAGATATCGTTATTTGCTTAAGTGGTAGGGGTGATAAGGATGTACAGAGTGTTGCAGAGGAATTACCCAAGTTGGGCCCAACAATTGGATGGGATTTGAGATTTTAGATATGATTATGAGGGACGAGTGGTCGAGTTAAGGTTAATGGGCGTTGCAGGGTCTTGTAAATATTTCGAAAATTATGAGTATGAATAGATCGTTAGAATGAAAAGTTCCTTATTTACAATGAATAAATACAGTTAATAAGCGAAGCTGCATAGCACGCAATTTCCAATCATTTACTAGCAACGCTCTCAAGCCTTTGCTTTCCACCTGATGGATACCTCTCGGGACTCCCGCTGGGCAACCTCGTCTTAGTCCTCGAACTTCTTGAAAACAGTCGATATGCCAACCTTCGACAAGCCGTCTGGGATGTGATGATATACACAATCACATTCCAAACACCCTGTAGCGACAACATTAATGATTCAATGTAGTTCAACGGGAAGTTAACTGTCGATGGATCCGCCATTTGCCAAATTCTGTTGACGCTCGCGGGAACCCAAGTAATAATCATAGCAAGAAAGAAAAGGATGGCCACTCGTGCATACAGCCAAGCCTCGGGATTGGTTCCAGCTTCTGCAACCTCTCTGGTCAAACTTCTCATTCTTCGCATCTGATACGCCTGGGATTCTTGTTGTTTTTGTTGAGGTGTCGCTTGGATTTCTACTTCATATTGATCCGAGTGCAGTACGCTTTCAGAAATGCCTTGATCACCGGCATCTTTGACGATGGATCGTTCTTCGTAGGTTATTTCGATTTCAGTCGTGATAGTATTTGCGAATGGGTTCTCGTTCATGGGGTTGAGGAAGCCGCTTAGATGTTCACGTTTGGACCAGATTACTTTGGCGGCCATAACGTATACGATGAAAGCGAAGAGGATAGTAATCCTACGGTCATCGGATCAGTAAACGTGATCAAATTTGAGAAGAAAGTTTGAAGCTCGGATCGCACTACTCACCAGACAATAACATATAAGAAAACCAACCGCATCCAATCCCAATCTTCGCTAATCCAGCACCAAACAACAGCTGATCCGTAAATACGACCTCGCGATTTTGTCGATACAAATAAGAATACAAAAGCGGGTATGAAGGAAAGCCCATAACATGCAACCAGGTACCAAATATCCAACTTTCTTAATTGATGTGTGGTATATCCTTTGAAGAAAATGAGGTATACGTTGATGGCCATGAAGAATGCCCAGTAACAATCAACTCCACGGAACATCTGCACCAAGAAACCTTGAACCTGACATATTCCGGAGGCATCGAATTTTGCTTTATCCATCAACGATGCCGTGCCAAGTTCAGATATCAGGCACGAGATACTCGAACCAATATTCCCCCATGATGCGAAAAAAATGAGTCGATTGATTGGTTTGTCGAAGGATGAACAAAAAAAGTATGTGAGAACTATGAATAGATTACCAAGGATAGAAACGGCTGACGTAACTCTCTCTGTGATATCAAGCGCATTGTATTGCTCGTATGTTAGAGACATGGCAGACTCCTTAGGCAAATGGATATGTCGAAAGGAGAGAAGAGTCAGGAGACTACCAGACCTTCTATAACGTGGTTCAACGACGATCTTCAGGAGTCAATTTGAAGGATTCAAAGCAGAAACAACCAAGGAAAGACATAATTGAAGTAAACTTTTATGTTGTGGAGATTATGTAAATAACATATATCCCAAAGTGATTCCTTTTGGAGGAATAAGAGGATCCCTATTTGACCATCCCATCTTGAAGAGTTCGTTAGACAAGGGGATGCATTTAATTTGAACGTTTAGAGTTTCTAAAAAACTCTAAATAATGACATGCCGGTAAGATCCCGATAAGCACCCGGTACGAATCCCCAATGACAGGCTTTTGAGGCATTGTAAATCTTCGGTATAGTGCCGGCGACATGTTTCACTTCCCCGGACAGAAAAGCAACCACACGCGTCGACAAGGTTGGAATCGATATTTTTCAAGCGATCTTTCATCTTATAGGAAGTTGCCCCGGATTCCTCCCCCCCAAACGACTACGTTTGGAATGAAACTTTTGGGCGTGGTGGGCTGAACAAATGAAGAAGGTTACATAGTTCAATATAATTAGGTATATATGCATGATTATAAGGACTGAAGCATCAAATGATATCATTCTGCTATTGAGAATTGGCAAACGTTGCTAAACGGACGAACCGTGTGGATGGTGTAAAGGTGTCGAATATATGGGTCCGTACGTATGCCCTGTACGTCCACCCCTAAGCGAGAATGCGAACTGGGTAAGCCCTGGCCCTGTAGACGGATTACTCCGTGTCTAGTTGCACCAAAATGCCCCCAGCGACGCAGCGTCTGTTTTTACTTTTCTTTATCCCATGTGGCAGGCTGGCCGCTAATCTATATTAATGTTTCCCGCTTTATATGCTTCTAGATTTCATATCACACTCAATCTTTTATACAAGCCTTTTGACATGCGATGTACTCGTGCCGCTAGGAAATATATATGCGACACTTCGCATAGATGCACATACCACAAGATGGTAGACTGACTACAAGAGGACTAACCTGATTTTCGAAGGTGGAATGTTGCATACTTTCTGGCCGCACGAGCACTATAATAACTCCGACATGTTCTCACTTGAATATTAAAAAGGGATGATCACGTAATTTTTGGTCATCATAGCTTTCTCGAAGACGTCGTGAATACCTATGCTCAAAAAATTTGAAAGGTTTGTAGCTGCATTAAAGGCTGGAAATGGATCGTTTTTCATCAATCAGATTTACGGAATCCACAGAATCGTGATGAGCTTACGCTCTCAAGTATTACTAAAGTGAGAGTAGAATAAACTCTGATATATACATGACGCGCTTATTAATTTATCAAAAAAGTTAATTCCTATTTACAGTTCAATCGCAGCATTTCCAATCACCATAGACTACTATACGGTGACTATACGGTGAAAGAACGACCATTGCGTCGGGTGAATTTGGATGAACTGAGTCAGACTTCAATTCATAGGATAGATTGACTATGGATTCCTAGACCTTGTGGAGATTGCTGCTTATCCCCCTCTTTCTGAATTCCCTGGATCATATCTGCATAGCAGTTACTCCTGCTAATTTACCCGACCCAGTGGCCATCGCAAGTCATCCGAAATTGAACCCATTTCGAGACTCAGCAAGGATTCTGTGATAACGGCCCAGCAGTTTTTTTTTTCAAGTCAAGGCACCATGTATTTCGTGCTCCGTTGCGGTGGTCTACTCAAGTTTCCCCTGATAATCGTTCCCCGATAATCGTTGTTCGACGGGTTCTTTGGCAGGAGCATGTTGCACCCGAAAAGTTTTCAAGGCGGGAACAAATTACAGCTCTTTATTTGTCTTAGAAGAGATTCATGGTGTTCCAGTAATCTATCACCCCCTCTCTCCCCCCTCCCTCCCGGGAAGATATGTTGTGATTCTAATTCAGAAGCTCCCAGTACTTGCTCTTGAGAAGCATTTCTCTGGGAAACGCTTTGAAATCTAAAGCCGCCGCTGACGACCACTCAAGTTTCAAGTACAGAGACGGAAAATTTCTAGTTTAGTACAAAGTTTACTTGAATGTTGAAAGATAACCATCGCCTCAAACATATACGATTCTAGGAAGCCCCCGTTCATCATGCAGACAATGATATCAACATTGTCTTCAGGGTCATTCGATGTATCTCTATCTTGATCAGCAATCTGAATTCCAGTTGCACTTTTCTGTAAGCTGTCGACAGACTTCTCGATGAAGTTCATACAATTGGGTTTCCCCGTACACTTCTAATATTCTGGATGTCTTTGATATCGTCTGTAATTGAACATCTAGCGTTGAAATATGAAAGAAGAGAGAAGTTGACCCATCAGGCAAGCAGTAAAAACTTCTATTGGCTAACACATCGTAGTCGCTGCGTTATCGGAGAATATGTAAGGCTTCCTAAATTGTAAAACATATCTTTCGTCATTCTCATACACTTAACAGGGTAAAGCATGGTACAAACTTCTTCAGAGGGTTCATTCTACGTACAGACCAGGAATGGGCGCCGTCTCTGTAATTACTTTACCACATCTTAGCAACGTCTAATCACCAAAAGAGCAGAGACGTCGCTAATTTTTATCAAAAACACGCCAAGTCCTATGTATTCCCCTAAACTAAACTAAACGAAGCTCTAATTCAGTTAGACGAATTCGGACGAAGTCGGACGAAGACGCTCCATTGGCTGCCCTATTTATCATCATTGTTCAAGTTGGGGTCTCTGGAAGAATTTCGCTTTGGTCGATCAGTTCTGAAGAGATAGCCACTGAGATTATATCTTTAGATGCGACTGCTTTGTGATGATTGTCGGTATGATCTCAATCTTGAGAAGCTTGGTAGTCGGAGTAACATTCTTCACAGACTTGTAATCACATAACTTGATAGTCGCCATGGATGGTCTAGGTGACGAGCATACTTCAAGTTTGATTGTCATTTGGGTGCTCTGATTGCACACAACTAATTGTGATAACATAGCGAACTCGGGCCTCGACACCCTAGCGCCTCCCCTTAAACTGTTCACAACCGACGAATTTGTCGATCGTTCTCCTGAAGAGATATTCAGGGACTCTGACAAAATAGATAGAAAAGTTCGCGAAGTGTGAAAGTTGTGCCGGGAAGTTTGCCATTGGAATTTTCAAGAAAAAAAAGCGAAGAAGATACCCCATTGTGAGTATGAACAATGCTCCTTCTACGTCGAGATACTAATACCTCCTATTCTCCTCAGATAATCTAATCATCCACGATCATGACTACTGGGTACTGTATCATGGTGATTTATATGAGCCGTTCGAACTCAACCAGCTAAGATTTGACAGCGCATCTGCAAAAGGAATGAATTAGATTGGTTGTGACTGCAAACGTTATGATTTGGGATCCGTCACTAGATACAAGTCGAAAGAGATCCGGACTGAAGCATGTGGTTGAGGTGGCATGGTAGATTTTGAACAAAAGGTTTGAACTTTTATTACGATCTCGCGTGAAGGAATCGGTCCATTCGTGTATGTCAGAAGCGAGAACTTCTGTAGTAAAGAGTGGTCTTCCTTGCCTTTAGATATGTATCATTTCACATTCCAAATTCGAACAAAGAGTCGTCAAGTTTCTACTTCGATAGGAAATTACGACCTTGTTATCAAACTTTGAGTCAGAAGATGAGGAATCATTGTCGCAAACTGTAGCAGAATCGGAGTCAACACATGGAGTCAAACGGGTTTGCGATATGACAGACAGCTAATATGTATCTACTCGTTCCTTCTTTTCTTCCTTTTATTCCTTGATTTCCTTTTCTCAAAAAAAAAGACTTCGCAAATGAAGAGTAACAGGCAACTTAAGGATAACCTAGAATCATTCAGTGACATTTTGAATACCTGTCATCATCGACCAGCCTACTTTAACACATCCAACTTACTCTAAACAAGCAACAGCTTTTCAAACATCAAGTTTTCATTCTGTGAGTCTCACTCGATAGTCCACGTCCATAAATCTCTCATCATCAGCATCAAAGTCCGTCCAGATGTCCAATGCCATCAGCCAGTCACTCAATCAGCAGCGACAGATATGGATTGACTCTATCAGAACTGTTTCATTCAGCAAAGAAGATGAAGCCTTATGCCATACAACGGAAGAAAAGACCCATCACAACCTTCTTTACTATTTCCGCTCATGATTTTGTCACGCCATGCACACAATGAAGGCTACAGGCTACCTATTAGGAGCTCATCGGCCTCGAGTTTCAAAGCGGTAGGGATTCACGCAAGGAGAATTCCCCAGACAAACCTCTCCCTAAATATATCATTGAGCTGCAAGAGACTCTTGATGGTAGTAACTCTAGAAAGTCGATTTTCTTTTCTTTTGAAGAAGGGGAGAAGATGATGATGAAAGAGCGTTTATGAATCATCTCAAGACGTTGAAACAAAACAGTGGACGCAAAGATAAAGGGTTTATGGTTCTGGGCGATGATCCAGAGCGTGAAGTTGTGTATCGCACATACATACTCGGGGGACAAGACTTTCCAGAATCGAGTGGACAATATAGATGTAGTGAGGTGGGTAAGAAGGTCATAGGCGGGTTGAATACGGGTTGTGGAATTCCATATTACGCCATCGTGTTGGAGAAGGTCGATATAGATCACCAAGTGAATGGTGGTAGTGAGAGAAAAGAGGAAGATTTGGTCTTGATGAGGAAGCAACGGGGTGGTGGTGAGAAAGAGGTGTCGGATATGATGAAGTCAATAAAGCAACGGCAAAAATGGTAACTTGGCAGTATCCAGGTGAAGTTGTTGGATAAACAATACAGCATGAGTTTTTACTTGTTTTGAATGGAGTATTTCCGCGAAGAGCAACGTTCTAGTCTCCTATCGTGTTATATTCTCTAGTCCCTGACAAATATCCACCAGTGTGTCCAATCTATAACTACTCCTCCTCAAGCTCACTGAAATCCACTTAACCTCCCTTTTCCGCTGTTCACTGTATCTTACTCACAGTCCGTCCGCATTCACCGCATCACCAATTTTGTCATGTTCTTACGTATAGTGTCGAGCAAAAAAATCGATGAATCCACCAGAGTAGTCTTCTAAAGGAACAAAAAAAACGTAGCACAGGTATTAAAATCCTACTTCTTGCCAGGGAACTGGCTTGATGTTTGAAACGATCTATGCGGCTTCGTGCTAGTAGAGGATACATAATAAGTGACAATCACTCTAGGCAGTTGTTCCCGCATTAAATACTGCCACCACAAGCAAACAAACAAACAAACAAACAAACAAACAAACAAACAAACAAACAAATCAAGTTTGTCAAATGCATCCCTAACATGTGATCCCACGAGATCAAACGCGTTCACACCGCCCGGCAATACATTCTACCTACTCCTCTATCATAAACAAACAGTATTCTTCCCCTTTTCTTCCCAAGAGACCAAGCTGTCTCAACATTTCACAGCAACCCATAACACTAACCATGGCACCCGAAGCTATTCCCCTCCGAACCCTGACTACCCTCCTCAACTACGAGCGTCTAGTCAGCGATCCCCGCTACAAACGCACCAGTCTCCACAGCAGCACCATCTCAGACCAAACCATACTTCCTCGTCTGGAAGGAAACGCGCTTATCAAAAAGCGACCCGCAAGCATTCAAAAAATCAACGTTCACACTTTCCACCACGATGCTTCTACTCCCGATTCTACTCAAGATCTAGCTCTAGAAACTTCCACCACTCAAGCGACATGCACCATCCATCCTTCATGCGATGTAGCAACCCGCTCCCTTTCCTCCACTCAACTCGAAAATATCTTCTACGAATCTCGAAGCCATGACGGCTGCTACAAAGCGCTAATCCTCTTTCAAGAATTTTTCGCCTTCTGTTCCTCAGATCAACAACTATCCATCCAGATCAAAAACGAAGAAGCAGTTCTCGTCAACCCTTTTCCACGCTCCATCATAGAATTCAAATTGACCGGTCCCAAAGTCATGAGTGTCCAATCTTTAAAGTTGAGAAATGGGGGTGCGACATATATTACCGGAGGAGAAAACGAGGGATTCCATTCTATCCTTGGATTTCCTAAACCAGGAACGAGTGTAGGTCAGATAGTAAACTTCGATGAGTTTTTCGTGGTAGACATGACGCGTATGCAATGGGGCAAGCTAGGTAAATTCGACGAACCTTATTTTCTCGGCAAGGGAGGAGATTGGCAGGATGCTATGGATACCATCTGTGATGATATGAAGGAATTGGGAATCGGAGCATCATGGATCGCGGAGAATCAGCATACAGAATTGATGAGAAAATGCGCAAAGAAGGCATGGGATCGCTGGAACGATCGAGAAAACGCAGGCTGGTGTGATTACTGTGGCGTGGGAGGAAAGTTGAGTGCATGTGCTGAGTGTAAGAAAGGAGACAAGAAGATTTGGTATTGTGGGGTTGAACATCAGAGGAAAGGGTGGAAGCTACATAAGTTTACTTGCGAGAAGAAGACTACTGCGAATGCGGGGAAGAAGTGAAAACATATTTTCCAAGGAAAACTATTCCTCTGCTCATACTTTCTGATTGAGATATGATATCTATGGTAATTTCAGGGGTCTACTATATATGTACCTAACTAGCTGTTGAACGGGTGGTAATATTGCTTCTTCTTCATAACATCCTTGCTAGAGTTCAACATCCCATACAATTCCACCCAAGGAAAAAAAATGCCACTATATTAGATACCTATTCAACAAGACATTGTCAAATACTGAAATACCGCCACAAATTAACAATAACAATTTACTTTACTCACAACCCATCACTCCAACTCCCCACCATCTAATTCTCTACCCACTCCAAAATTTCCCCATCTATTTAGCGACACAAACTCCAGACCTCCACATCCTTCCCTCCCAAAAACCTCGCTAACCCCCTAATAACCCCCCAACCACCCTTTCAAAACCAATTCCTCCTCTCAAAAACTCAAAAATCCATTTTGCATACAACTTCAACAATTATACATTTCCAGAATGCAAAACACCTCATTAAAACCTCAAATTTCAAACCCTAATTATAAACTATTCACCATCTAATGCACCAGCCTTTACAAATTACAATAGTCTACTATCAGAGTCACTATACTCTTTCGAAAAAGCAACAATTAAATTAAAAATATTTTTGTTCTGAAAATCTAAAATGCAAAACCTAATTTGCAAAAATTCAAGTTCCAGACCATATATAAGTATTGATGCATCTAATATTGAAATCCAACATATTTCCTCTAGCTCAGTGTTATACTATATCCACGAGACCGAAGCTGGTTCTATACAATTTTCTTTACACATATTCGAACATCTATTATTCAATGCTGAGGATCCTTCTCGCACATGATTAACTTGACACTTCACTATCATTGTCATTGAACTTCCAAGGTTAGGTCTTAAACGAGCCCAAATGGTGACAACTTAAGCAGCCGCTGCCAGCATGCATCAAATCACATGAATGGCAAAAAAGGGAAAGATAGCAATGCAAATTGCAAACATCGTAAACTTCATTTGTATCATGAGTTAATCATGATAGGATATCTCTATATACTATATAGCTATTTATCAGCCAGTCGTATATCTATAAACGCCTTTTGTTGAAAATGCAACCCTGACACGTTGAATGTGTTTTTACCGCCCTCATATTAACTAACTTGTTGAAACGCTAATCGACATACAAAACCAAAAAATGCGAGAATATATTTTTAAAAGAGACCATCAATTTCTCCAGTCTCAGTGTCAACGTCGACGTTGAGATATCCAGGTGCGGTAGGAAGACCAGGAATGGTTTGTATATCTGCCGCAAGTGCATACCTAGAATTATGTTAGAGAGAGCAATAAAGTTATCACGCAAAAAAAACTTACAAATAACCAGCTCCAGCAGCCAATCTCACATCTCTAATTGGAACAGTGAATCCAGTTGGTGCACCCTTAAGATCTGGGTCATGCGACAAAGAGTATTGAGTCTTTGCAATGCAGATTGGCAAGTTTCCGAACCCTTGTTTAGTGTATGTATCAACCTTCTTTTGAGCGATCTCACTGAACTCGACCTTGTCAGCTCCATACATCTCTTTACCAATGGCTTCAATGCGGGTCTGGACATCTCCGTCAAGGCTGTAAAGAAGTTTGAAGTTCTTCTCCTTTTCACTCGCAGCGATAACACCCTTGGCGAGGTCGACAGCTCCCTTACCCCCTTCGGCCCAGTGATTAGCTGGGATAGCATCTTCAGCACCAGCAGCGATGGCCTCCTCTCGGATAACCTCAATCTCGGCGTCAGTGTCAGTCTCAAACTTGTTGATAGCGACAACAACTGGTACACCGTAAGACCTGGCATTAGAAATGTGCTTCTTGAGGTTGACACAACCTTTGCGAAGAATCTCAACATTCTCCTCTCTGTAGATTTGGTGGAGTGCGGCACCTGGAGCGATTGGTGGGCCACCACCGTGAACCTTGAGTGCTCGAACAGTTGCAACAACGACGACAACATCTGGAATGAGTCCTGATGATCTACACTTGATGTTGAAGAAACGTTCTCCTCCCATGGTGAAATCGAAACCTGCTTCAGTGATAACAAAACCAGCCTTCTCGTTGTGATTCTCGTCAGGCTCAGTACCAGCGAGCTTAAGAGCAAGCTTATCCGCAAGAACCGAGCTAGCACCGATACTAATGTTTGCGAATGGTCCGGCATGAACGAAAACAGGTGTTCCTTCCAATGTTTGCATCAAGTTGGGCTTAATAGCATCCTTCATCAATGCTGTCAAAGCACCACCTGCACCAAGATCATCACAAGTAACAGGATCACCATTTCTGGATGATCCAATGACCATACGACCAAGTCTTTCTCTCATGTCGTTCAAGTCGTTACTAAGCGCAAGAATAGCCATGCACTCACTAGCGACAGAGATATCAAAACCAGTTTCTCTAGTTTGTCCCTTCTCGGTACCAGCGGTACCGACGGTGATACCTCTCAGATGACGATCATTGACATCAAGAACACGTCTCCAGGTGATTGTCGAAGGATCAATATCTAATCTTGCGAAACGATGAATCTCGTCCTCGGTAAGCTCGTCGGGGTTGGTTTTAGTGATACCAAGCTTCTTAAGTCTGCGGAACATAATAGGTTGGAATTCACGCTTGCCCTTCTTTGCTGGAACGAGACGCTTGTAAAGCGGGCCATCCTTTTGGGTATTTTCGTGGAACATTCTGGTTTCAATGGCAGCGGCTAACAAATTGTTTGCAGCTGTGATTGCGTGAATATCACCAGTCAAATGGAGGTTGAATTCGTCCATAGGAATGACCTGACTGTATCCACCACCTGCAGCACCTCCCTTGATACCAAAGGTTGGTCCTTGACTTGGTTGACGAACATTAGCGAAAGCTATGCGATCAAGATGACCGGCAATAGCTTGAGTGAGACCCATAGTAGTCGTAGATTTACCCTCGCCAAGAGGTGTTGGGGTAATACCAGTGACAACGACATAACGACCGTTGCGGCGGTGCTCAAGACGTTTGAGTAGGCTCAAATCAACTTTACCTTTGTATGCTCCATAAGGTTCAAGTTCGTAACCAGCAATGCCAATCTCTTGTGCTACACGTGTGATATGCTTTGGGTGTTGAGCTCTCGAGATAGCAATGTCCGATGGGACTGGGGTTTGAAGTTTCAATGGCAAAGGCTTGATAGCTCTGGCCTTTTGACGCTCGAAATAAGCTGTTGCGGATTCAACAACGTTCTGCAATAGCATTGCGA